GCTGTTACACACACACACACACACACACACACACACACACACACACACACACTTAGAAGAATAGAATAGAATAGAATAGAATAATCCTTTAATAGTCCCACAAGGGGAAATTTGGTTGTGTCAGCAGCAACATCACACATATACAAACAATGCAGGACACAGAACAGAAGCACAGTTATTACCTATTTACATCATGGACAATAGTTACCAGAGCAGAGTACAATACAGTTGTTTATATAGGCGCACACATATTGTGTAAGCATAGCAGGATACTGAAGATGTTAAAATAGTTTTAAAAGTTTAAGATGATTAAAAGAGTGCAGATTGTTTATTTTTTACCCATTCATTAAAAAGTAGACATGTAGCCTTCAATAAATTATTGCATGTATAAGCTGAGAAAAAGTAATGTGTAAGTTATAATTGTAGAAGTTATTACAGCACTGATGCCGACAACTGTTTTGTTTGGGAGCAGTTCTGATTGTACAGTCTAACAGCTGCAGGGAGGAAGGACCTTCGGAAACGCTCCTTCATGCATCTAGGATGCAGCAGTCTGTCACTAAAGGAGCTCTGCAGTTCAGCAACATTTACATGCATGGGGTGGGAGACTCTGTCCATCAGAGATGTTATTTTGGCCAGAGACCTTCTGTCTCCCACCACCTGCACTGGGTCTAGGGTGCATCCTAGAACAGAGCTGGCCTTCCTGATGAGTTTATCCAACCTCTTCCTCTCAGCTGCCAATAAACTGCTGCTCCAACATACCACACTGTAGAAAATGACAGATGCTACCACAGAGTCATAGAAGCTCTTTAAAAGCGCTCCCTGTACCCCAAATGACCTCAGCCGCCTCAGCAGGTAGAGTCTGCTCTGACCCTTCCTATAAAGAGCATCCGTGTTGTGGCTCCAGTCCAGTTTATTATTCAGGTGAACACCCAGGTACCTATAAGAGTCCACTATCTCAATGCCCACTCCCTGGATGTTCACCGGTGTCACTGTGGTGGGTCTGCGTCTCCTGAAATCCACCACCAACTCCTTGGTTTTCCCGGCGTTGATCAGCAGATGGTTCTGCTGACACCAGTCCACAAAGTCCAGAGTCCCCTGTCTGTACTCTGAGTCATCCTCACCTGTGATGAGGCCAACTATGGCAGAGTCGTCAGAGAACTTCTGTAGGTGGCAGCGTGGGGAGCTGATGGAGAAGTCAGCAGTGTAGAGGGTGAAAAGGAACGGTGCCAGCACAGTTCCCTGTGGGGCCCCCGTACTGCAGACCAGCGTGTCAGAGACACAGCCCTGTGACCTCACATACTGTGGTCGTTCTGTGAGGTAGTCCAGTATCCACTGAGACATGTGGTGGTCCACTCCCGATAGCTCCAACTTATCTTTCAGAAGTCGTGGTTGGATGGTGTTGAAAGCACTGGAGAAATCAAAAAACATGATCCTCACAGTGCTTCCAGGCTTCTCCAGGTGAGTCAGAGCTCGGTGCAGAAGGTAGATGATGGCATCCTCCACCCCAATGCCAGGCTGGTAAGCAAACTGTAGTGGATCTAATGAAGACCTCACCAGGGGACGCAGATGGTTAAGAACCAACCTCTCGAGTGTCTTCATCAGATGCGATGTGAGGGCTACCGGCCTGTAGCTGCTGAGGTCCTTGGGATGGGAGGTCTTTGGTACCGGTACCACACAGGATGTCTTCCACAGCTGTGGTACTTTCCCAAGCGATAGGCTCAGGTTGAACAGGTAACCTAGTATGCCACACAGTTCATCTGCGCAGCACCTCAGAAGCCTGGAGCTGACGCCATCTGGGCCTGCAGCCTTATGCACCTTGATCTTGCGAAGCTCGTTCCTCACTTGAAATGCTGAGATGGAGAGAGTGGGTTTTGGGGGAGGGGTGTGTATAATGGAATCCACAGAAGCCGGGGGTGGGAGTAATGACTGGGAGCTGGGAGGTGTGAAGCCGAGAGGTGTGAATTCCTGAGGTGAAGGACAGGCAGTCCCTGAAGACAAAGGAGATTGCAGCAGGGGGGACGATGCTGTGGGAGGGGTGGGTGGTTGATCAAACCTATTAAAATATTTGTTTAGGTCATTCACCCACCCCAAGTCTCCCACAGCCTGGGGGGTTGGTTTTTGTCCTGAGATTGTCTTCAGGCTGTTCCAAACCCCTCTGATGTTGTCCTGCTGTAGCTGCTCTTCCATCTTCCTCCTGTAGTTTTCCTTTCCTTGCCTTATCTTCCATTTCAGCTTCTTCTGAACAACTCTCAGCTCCTGTTTGTCCCCCGATCTAAAGACTCTCTTCTTCTCCTTGAGGAGAGCCTTAATTTCAGGATTTATCCATGGCTTGTTGTTGGAAAAACACCGTATCTTTTTGATGGGTACGGTGTTGTCCACGCAGAAGTTCATGTAATCCGTAATGCAGTCTGTGATGCTGTTGAGGTCATCCACACTTAATTGTTGATCAGGAGGAATCAGTTGTTTCAGAGGCACATTGAGCTGAGCTTCTTTCGTACTTATGTGGCACCTCCAATCTCTCGTGAAACAGCAGAAAATACAAGAGATGATAACTTCATCTTGCTAATCTAGACTTTTAAGATCGAGATCAAAGTAGGAAAATCTTAAATATCCCCTTTTGTCTTGTCATTTTAATACCTGTACCTGCTAAGATCTTTAGCTGATATTGATCCTTATCCCACATCTTCTCTTGTTGCCTTGATCAGACTAACACAAGTGTCGTCTGTTATCAGCTGATAATCCCGCCCTGCGTCAGCTAGCGCTATTAGCGGCGACTCTGCTGAATATCCATGAGCTGATAAATGAATCATGAGGATCCACGCATTTGAAGTCAGCCCCCCCTCTGTGAACATGTCACAATAATGATGGAGCCATGGGTGGCGCCATTACAGTGGGCAGTTTACATGACAGCGTCGTCATCCATCGAAACTAATCAAAAACCAAAGATAGAGGAAAAATAGGAGATGGCTTTATTGTCATTTACTGTTATTTAAAGACCAAGTTCACTCTTTTTTCCACACATCTGCAGTGGTCTCCAGTGTTAATTGCTGCCTTGTGAGTCGATCTCTGTGGAAAGAAGCTCTGGCGCTCCCGTTTCAGGAAGCAGAAGTTAGCCAGTAGAGGTGAGCGTCAGATGGCAGGATTTGGATTCATATTTCCTGATACACGGACACCTCGCCTCTGATTGGCTAACGGCAATGCAACTGTACCAGCTTAGTTTCTACTAGCCAAGCTGTGCTCTTCTTTCTCCTGGACGCTAAATCAACAGCCTTCCTCTTCAAGAGCCAAGATGGATGAGTCCATGAAGACTAACTTTCAATTTGACGTAGATCCGAGTGGCGTTGCATTTCTCTGTCAGTTTTTTTTTGAGCTAATGCCGGAAATAGGGGTAGAAGACTATCTTCATGTTAAACCTGAATGTTAAAGAGCAAGCTCACTGAAAAATATTTTTTACTTATATTTTTTGAAGATAATGGGTCACTCTGAGTTTTCCACGCAGGCTGAACATGAAAATAGTCTCCAATGCCTACTTCCTGCATTAGTCGTGTAAAGTACATGGACTCACCCATCTTGACTCTTGACGGGGAAGGTTGTTGTTGGTTTAGCGTCCAGGAAACAGCAGAGAACATCTCGGCTAGTAGAAGCTAACCGGTAGCATTAGCAACTCCACAACATTGCAGAACTCCTTCAGGCTTGTGTTATTTGTGGAAATGAACCATCAACATTGCAGAGCAAATGGATTCAGTGGTAGAGTTGTGTCGCTGTTAGCCAATCAGAGGCGAGATGTCCAAATATCAGGAAATAGGACTCCAAATCCTGCCGTCTGAGGCTACGGTCTCCTCTGACATTTATTCCTACCAGGAACCACAGCAAAATATGAGTAAAGCTGACCTTTAAACTCAGAGTGACCTGTCATATGTCAAATATAACCAGAATAAAACAGTCTCTCAGTGAACTTGGTCTTTAAGCGTTGCTCCCATTAGGCCAAGTTCTCACTTATCCCTGATGAAGGTCTCGGTCTTCATTCGTAATAATCACACACTTGCACCTTATCTCAACGTACACAATGCCATGTAACATTTCCGTGGACACATAAGGCAATGAAGAATTGATCGAGCCAGGAGGGGGGATGTGATCAAAGCATTGTTCACACTGTTTTTCTTCAGCTTCCCGTGCTCTCTTGATCGAGTCGTGTTATATCAGCCCAGCCTACACCCATCTGCCACTACTGAGAATCACAGGCGCAGAATCCAGCCTTCGGTTTAATGAAGTCATGCTGGAGTTTGTGCGTGAGCGGGAGAGACTGAAGCAGACACCTCTCTCTGATGTTCGTATTTCATATCTACGTCTGCCCAGGAGCTTGCCTGTTTTGAATTATTAAGCAGTTTGGTCTTTCTTCTCTTTGCCTATTTCTTTTTTCCCCTCTCATCGCTCTTTTTCGTTCATTTTTCCCTTTCTCGCGCGAACTCTCTTATCCCCTCGTCCTCTTCCTTTTCTTGCTCGTCTATGTCTGTTCATCTAGCTTTGGCTGAAGCGGTGGCTCTCACTGAGATGTAAATGCCTGCCTTTGAAGGGGCACAGTAGGAGCGTCAATTAATCCAGCCTTTTACTCGGCTAAAAAAATTGCTCTGCAACTATTGTTAGTGGGCTGTTTCATCTCTATTGTGCTACGGGCCATTTTTTCATCCGCTGTCCTCGTGCCACTGGATTTGGTGGACTCTTCAAAGATTCTGGGTGCATTTAGGAAAGTACAAAGGCAAGGAAATGACATGGGAAGCTATAGAATCAAAGGTGTCACCGGAGTCTGGCTGTGCTGCATATTCCACCATTTCTCTCTCCCTTTCCAAACTCTTAATAACTCCATGGAGCTGTGCACTAACCTGCCTCCTTATTCCCTTTGCCCTCTCAAGCCCTAGACCTTTCTCCAACCTCTAATGAATAAGCTTTAAGGGTGCATAGTTCTAACTCTGATTTTTATTTCTTGGCCACCCGGCCATCAGATCTCAATGTACCAAGCCCCTGTGTGAATAAGGTGTGCGATTACGGAGCACTGTGCGTGGTCAAGAACGCCGAGCCGGTGTGCGAGTGCCTGGAAGCCTGTCCTCAGACGCCCGACCCCGTGTGTGGATCTGATGGCCAGAGCTACGGCAGCCCCTGTGAGATGCGGGCGATGGGTTGTGCCCTGCAGAAGGCCATCCACATCCAACACAGAGGGCCGTGTGGTGAGTCGATGCAGCAGCGACACCTCTCAAACCCACAGGAAATCACACACACATCATGGATGTAAGCATCAAAACCTGTCGATTCTAACAGACCTCACCTCCAGACTCGAGTTCATCCACACAGAAATACTTTCTGTTTACGCTGGTTTTCACACTGTGGACGATCTGTTACATGTAGCACGTCGTGTAGGTGGATTTTACTCCCAGCACTTGTGTCCAAACACCAGTGTGGCGTAAAGTGGGTTATTTCTCTTTTGTTATATTATCGTCATGGCAACCAAAGACTATTAAATGACATACCCAGAGAGGGGTGACATTTCCTCTAGTACATCAGTTTCAACAAACAGTGTCGGTCCTGTCAGGGTAACAGATGTTGTGTACACGATCAAAAAAGGCATGTTTGTTTGATTGATGATTGGATATTGTGTCAGCGTTGCATGCATATGTGGGTTAGGGCACCGTTATCTAATTACAGATTTACATTATTGATTTTACCAGGTCTAAAGTGTCCTTTGACTTCGACACCAAGAACCGAGCAATTAAAGAATCCTAATTTTTATCCTTTTTTTTTTTAAATTTGAGGTACTAAAATAATTTAACATGTAACTGTAAAATGATTAATATCCACATAATAATTTAAAGTTATAACGTTGAACATATTCCTATTTAAACCTTTTTGAGAAATGTTTTATCCATTTCAGCTTAATTAGAGGAGATTACAACAAATCTGAGTACATAAGAATAAAAGGAAACGTTCTTATTTTAACAGCCCAGTTCAAACAGCTCAGATGCAACTCTAGTAAACAACAAAATACTTATTCACTGATTTAAACATTTGCTCACCCAACCTTTTCCTTTTGGAGGGGGGGGGGGGGGGGGGGGGGGGTCATTGACTTGCATTAACTTTTTCATTCTTATGGGGACCCATGAGCCGACCGAAAAGGGAGGAGACGTGGGCTCTCTATGTCACATTTGCTTACATGAAGGGGGCGGGACTTAAATCTCATACTGGAACCAGCCACTGGAGGGCACACTTTTGTTTAATTTTGTCATCATATTTATGGATGATGAAGACCAGTACGGTGGGTTATGTGCATATATTCTAGGGATGTAAGAAAATATTGATACGCTGATTAATCGCAATATTTTGCGTTATGATACTGAGTCGATATTTTAAAGCAGTGCATTCTTTTTTATTGATAAACTACATGCAAACATTTACTGCACCTCTTTTGTGTGGTGCAATTTAAACTCCCACTGCTAGGTGGCAGCAGTTTTTACCACCTTTATTTAAATCAACAATAAGATCTCGTGATGACACTGGATGTGGAAGAGTCTGGCCCGAATTTTCTAATTAAATTCAGTCTTGAAAACAGCTAATATCATCTGGCCTTTAGTATCATAATATATCGTATCGTCTCACCCGATTTGTGATAACCACCACCAGATTCTCACCAATACACACCCCTACAAATCAACACCCACACAAATAAGAGAAAACAGCTTCTGATTGGCTGTCCACTGCAGTGACCACTAACAACCTCGTCATAAAAGATCATATAATTGTCTCTGAGTTTATCAACCATGAAACCATCAGTTGTCAGTGGGGTTTATTTGCTTTTATCTCATCATAAAGTCACTCGCAAAAGCTGTGAAAATATGAAATATTATGTGAACGATAGCTTGCGGGTGAGGAAGATCCTCTCCCTGTGGAGTTAAATTTTACTCAAATTAATTACTAGCTCCACATTTCTTAATGGGAGACGTTCTAATCGGCAGACGTTCACTCTAAACACGCAAAGAGCTGCTTTCATGTGTGGACCCCCCACCCCCCCGGGCTGTTTTCACCTGCAACAAAGTCGCAGCAGTATTTTACACTCTGAGGGGATTTTCTGATCACTGCTCTGCTTTTGTTCGTAGTCTCCGCGCCTCTTTGCTTCCACCCGCCTATACCATTACCAAGATGCCCAATTTGCCTGTTTTGACCTTTAGTGAGGATGCACTTTGCTGCCATTGAAGTGTGATGCATACTTGTCTGTAATTGGCTACATGAGTCACTTGGCTTTGTCTTGCGGTGTCGGTGTATCAGCTCGTCATTAGTACAGCAGCAGCAACAGCAGAGCTTCAAGTGTTAAAAATATCTTCTTATCCACTCTGCAGGCTCACGGCCATATGGATAGCTTTTTACTGCTTGCCAAACCTACTTAGTAAATACTCTTGATGACTTAATGCCATATTGCCAGGTCTATTTTCCCGTGGACTCGGATGATGTCGTATTTCTCTGTGTATACCGTCAAACCATTTGCTTTTCACACACACAGCGGGCAGAAGCATAGCCGTTATTATCCCTCTGGTCCAACTCTCTCATCTACCTTATTGGTTTGGTTTAACTACAAAACATTGTTTTTTCCTTGCATATTTTGATGGCGGTAACATTAAAAATCCGTTTTCCTTTGCAGATCTGCACAGCTTTTGGAGCAGAACTATCAGTAGGACTGGAATTAGTGTCACTTTGCTGTTGCTCACTGCAGTTTCTGTCGGGTTTATGGTTTTAGGCTTGTTTGTTGCAAACTCACCTTAAAGGGACATTATGGAAGTGTGACAGCCAAAACATGTATAGAAATAATAAATGTCTTCTTCATACATTCTCCTGCAATGCCCTGGTCCTGTAGAATGAGCCCTGGCATTTTTACTGTGATTGCCTGTTTTTCTGTAAAATCACAGAAAAAGAGAGATGCTCGGGTCGAGCAGGCTGCTTCATGCGCGTTCACGCTCAGGCATAACCCGTAGCATTTGCTATCAGTAGATTTAGCAGCAGAGAGAGAGGTAGTTCCACTTTGTCGCTGTTCCTAACGCCTAGTGACAAAGCTAGCTACATTTCTGAGGACCCTTAGCTACTTTCTGTAGAACTTTCTTCTAGATATTTCCTGCAAATTAGCAACAAAATAGCCATTTTCGCTTTGAACCGTTCTTTGGTTTGACGTTGTTTCAGCTGTCATCAAGGATATAAAAGTTACAGATACATTTAATGTTACTGGTGCTTTAGCTCACCTAGTAAGACGTCTGACTCTCGTGCAGAAGACCTGGGTTCGATTCTGGATGTGATCATAGTTCATTTAGAGTTTCTTTTTTACATTAACGTATATTTATTAACAGTATGATGCCCAAATTTTTATTTGAGACTCGCCGAACGGCATTGAAATCACAGATAAAAAAGATGTGGGTTCAACTTTAATTTTGGAACAATTTTTCAAGCAAGGGAAGGGAATGATCTGAGCATGCAGGAGGACTGACCCATCATAAACCTTTGTCGGCTGTGCTGGTGCAAGTCAACGGGCAAGTAGGTGGGGTACACCCTGGACAAAGAGCCAGTCCATCGCAGGGCAACACAGAGACACACAGGACAAACAATCATGCACACACACACACCTAAGGACAATTTAGACAGACCAATCTACCTAACAGTCATGTTTTTGGACTGTGGGAGGAAGTCGGATTACCCGGAGAGAACCCACACATGCACAGGGAGAACATGCAAACTCCATGCAGAAAGTTCCCAGGCTGGGAATCGAACCCAGGACCTTCTCGCTGCAAGGCAACAGCTCTAGCCACTGCGCCGCAGAAATAATCATTAAAAATATATTTTTTTCAGTGGAGTTGACCTTTAAGTAGCACTCTGAGGTCTTCCTGCACTTAACAGGTGAAGTTAGCAGCCATAAAGTCCCTCTGCGGGCTTTCAGTCTCCCGGTGAACGCGTCGGTCACCCTGCCATCCCTTCTAAATTGAAAAACAGTGAGGGGATGTATGCCAATGATAAATGGGACAGAACGAGATGCTTGGGTGGCGTGCAGGCGGGTTGACTCAATTTGAGGCGCCACACCGCAGGTAGATCTGTCAGCCAGCGGCCCCTGTGTGGTAATGAGTGGTGTTTATTTAAACAAAGCAAGAGGCAGAGCGGAGGGCCGTGTTTGTAATCCAGCGCTATGGATGACTCTTGGCTCCCAGAGGAGCGGGCCTGCATCAGCGCGATGGCGCCATAAAAATGCTGAGGCGCCGGCTTGCCAAGCGCGAGGCAGCCTAGGAATGATGGTGATAATCATGTGGATTATTTCTGGGCTGTTTGCACAGCTTTACTGGGCTTGATTCAACACCATAACAAGTGACTGACTTAAGCTATTATCTCACCTAATTATCATAAGCTGTTCCTACCACTTATATACGTTACATTTTTATAGAGCAGGAAGGGGGTGGGGGGGGGGGGGGGGGTGTAGTACCCAGAGGTGATGTTAATCTCGTGGGAAATTTAAAAAGAAATAAGCTAATTATTACGTTTTTTTGTGTGTTTCAGGAAATGAACAGGTGGAAATTGAATCTATTCTTTTTGCTCGTGCTCGCTGCCAATAATCAGCATTTAGATGTTTTCTTGTGTACAAAATAAACCCCGCTTAGGCTTCCTGCCTGTTTTGGTCCTTTTTAATGTGTGAGATGTAGAATTGTTGCCTTCTGGCTTCAAACGTCCGATCTTAGGAGCAGAAATGGCGGCTGGATAGTGCAAGAGAAGAGCAAGAAGTAACAGTGCATGGGTGCTTGTGTGTGTGTGTGTGTGTGTGTGTGTGTGTGTGTGTGTGTGTGTGTGTGTGTGTGTGTGTGTGTGTGTGTGTGGTTTACTGTAGCCTCTCATGAACCCGGTCATAATTTCATTTCCTCCCCTGCGGGCTGAAAAAATAGTGGTTATCTTTATGGCTCAGGTGCAACCTGATAGCAATATGAGTGACATTTGTTATTTTTTCCCAGATTTTTTTGTACTTTCTTCTCTGTTTGAGTCGTATGTGTCCTTGTAAGGTGGGCAGGGAGGTGTTTACTCGGTTAGACTGCCCCCTCTCCCTATCTGGATGCCAGGCCCCTCACAGGATGGTGACTGGTTTCCCTGCTGTTATATCCATACAGATGAGTTTCCAGGCACCTGAATCATCGGACAAAAGGAAAAACAACTTCCCATG